GACCCTTTGTGGGGGAGGTACCAGAAGAAGTGGGCCGATATATTCCATCTTCACACCAGACCTTGGGTTAATGAAAATATTGTGATGTGTGTAATTTGAAGACAATCGGAAACTTACATCACATTTTATAAGACATTTTTTATTATTCAAAATTTTGACCCTTTGTGGGGCAGGTACTTGATGGAGTAGACCTATATTGCCCATTTTCGCACCTGACCTAACACTGATACAAATATTAGGATTTATAAAGTTGGAGCAAAATCGGAATATCGTTTCTCTATCTGTGCAAAAAAAAAAAAAATTTTTTTTTTTTGAAAATTTCGAAGATTTGTGGGGGTGGTACCAGAAGGAGAGTACCGATATTGGTCATCTTCGAACTCGAGCTATGTTTGATAATAATATTACGATGTACCAAGTTTGGATCAATTCGGATACTCCCTTTGAGAGTTAAAGTGCACACCAACCAGACAGACAGACAGACGGACATCGCCAGATCGACTCCAAACTGTTATTTCGATGAGGCACGTTTTTGCCGTATCAGCCATATGGGTGAGGGTATAAAAATCAGAAAAAAAAACTTCATGAAGTCTTTTTGTATTTGACACGACTTTTCTAAAATGATGCTTTGCAGGAGGATTTTGCCTAAAATTACATGAAGTTTGGCTTTAACCAAAAAATGCTTTTAATATTCCTAAATTCCTGGTGTTAAGGTAAGATTAAGGCTTTTGCTTTATTCTGGAACCTATAGTAGAATTTTATAAAAAAAAATAATTTTGTAGTATATTTTGGCAAGCTATGACCACGTTTAAGGGGAGTTTTAAAACATGTTCTGAACTTGTCAAGAAAGACCACTTTGTTGACTCGATTTTAGGTGGAAATTGTCGACCAAAAAAATTCTCGTATTGTTATCGGTAATATTGCCGATCCCTAGGAATTTGAAATTGAAAATAAAAAAATGCGGAAGCGGAGAGTGCTTGCTCCCTATATTTTCCACAGATACAGATCAGAGCCCATAGGACCATCAACGTTTCTCAAAATATTTAAACATTATTACTCTCTATAAACCAAAGACCTTCAATGGGAGTATTCCATTCCAAAAAAAAGACAATAAGTTCAAGACCCCTAACAATATTATAGGGTATGCCCAACTAACTACACCACCATCATTTTCAACACAATCTCAAGCAATACAAAAATAATGCCATCAATTAGTAGTAAACATTTTCAGCAACAACAATAACAACAACAGCTGTTAGCTGCTGTTACGGCTATGAATTGATGGACAAATATACAAAAGCTCGTTGCAGGAGGGAGGGATAACAAACCATCCAACAACAAGCCGGATAGACAGACAGACGAACAAACAATTGTATTTAGTTACAAAAATGACTTTTATGGTGAGTTGGTCGCTCGGTCGGTTGGTTGGTTCGTTGTTTGGAATAGATGAATGGAATAGAATGGGATGCAATGCTATGGATGGATGAATGATTGTTGGGTGATGGTCTGTAGTATTTATTTCAATTGAATTGTTTGACATTCAGTTGGGACAACAAATTGATTTTGCAAGCATGAATGGAGAAAATTATTTGTTTATTATTATTGTTGTTATTTGTTGTTGTTGTGGAATGGGCCGTCCCATTGTTGTTTGGCCATTTAAAACCCAAGGGGGCAAAGAAGGTGAAACAGTAGCAACATGCGTTTTGGAAAAACAATGATTTAAATATGGAAAAAAATTGAGGAGAACTGGCATCTTTGGAACGAGGAAATAGTAGATCGAAATAATTTAATTTTCTTCAAAGAAACAACAGCTACTGGAACTTTAGAAGCAAGCTGTTTAACTTCATAATAGAACAGATGAACCTAAAAGGGGGCCCTTCTTGAAAAGTGAAACTAGCCGAAAATTAAAAGTACTTCTTTGAAATTTGGATTAGGTTACGAAATACGTTTAACGTTGAAAATCCAAACTAAAATAAATGTAAATTTAAATATATTGGGTGTACTATAAGTTTTTTTTTTATCACTTAATTGTATTCTGAAACAAACAGTTGTTATCCATCCAAATATTTGAAATTTTGTCCCAAAACACTTCGTAGATATTGTGACTAATTGTAATTATGCTCTGATTTCTAATGATAACGCTGTTGTTTTTTGAGATAAGAAATTCATTTCGCTTATGGGGGGATTTTTCGTTGTTTGGTTTTGAAAACAGATAATATAAATATTTGATACGGCCAAAACGTGCCTCATCGAAATAACCCCCTTTAGAACCTAGGTCTCTTTGGAGCAAATCCGTTTCAGGACATTTGGAGTCGATCTAGCGATGTTTGTCCGTCCATCCTTCCGTCTGGCTGGCTAGTGCGCACGTTAACTCTCGAAGGGAGTATCCGATTTTATCCAAACTTGATACATCGTAAAATTATTATCAAATTTAGATCGAGTTCGGGGATGGGCAATATCGGCCCACTCCTTCTGGTACACATAAATTCCGATAAATTACATATTCATATCAGATTTCTGGTTAAGAGAAGAGATATAAAAAGTTGTAAATAATAATAAGTCATATGTTTGGAATAGATGAATGGAAATTGTGACCCTTTGTGGGAGAGCTACCAGAAGGGGTTGGCAGATATACATCATGTTCACAACAGATCTTGCGTTAGCAAAAATATTTGTATGTTTGAAATTTGAAGAGAATTGGATGCTTATTTCGCTTTCTTTGAGCGTTTTGTTTTTCGAAATCTTGAACCCTATGTGGGGAAGGTACCAGAATAAATGGTCTGATCTTCACCATCTTTATAACAGATCTTGTGATGATGGATATATTGAGATATACCAAGTCTGAATATTAATATCGCGTTTTATGAGGATCGAAAAATCTTATTGATATTCAAGATATTGACCCTTTGTGGAGCAAGTACCGGAAGGAGTGGACCGATATATCTCATCTTCACACAAGACCTTGGGTTAATAAAAATATTGTGATTAGTGTAATTTGAAGAGAACCAAACGCTTATTTCGGATTTCAAGATCGTTTTGGTTATTCCAAAAATTGACCCTTTGTGGGGCAGGTACCAGAAGGAATGGTGCGATCTCTATCATTTTCATAAGAGATCTTGTGTTGAAGGAAATATTCAAATGTGCCAAGTCTGAATGTAATCGGATTTTAATTTCGTGTTTTATGAGCTTCTTAGATATTCAAGATGTTGACATTTTGTGGGGTAGGTACCAGAAGGAGTGGACCGATATTGCCAATATCCGAACTCGATCTAAGTTTGACAATAATATTACGATGTACCATGTTTGGATCAAATCGGATACTCCCCCCTTTCGAGAGTTATCATGCGCACCAGCCAGATCGACCCCAAATGTCCTGAAATGGATTTGTTCCAAAGAGACCTAGGATCCATATGGCTGGAGGTATCTTTTGCATGGACAATAGTGTAAGGTATAAGCTTCAGATTAGGCTTACTTTGGTATACTTAATGGCATGTAGCTGGACTTGAACGGATTAGTCAAATTGCTATGGAAGCAATGCATCAAGGTTTAGTGAGCCAAAGGGGTGAAGAATTTTATGATAAGTTGAAACTACAAGCTTCGTATATCGACACCTGGCATCCCCGATCTTGAGATTTTTCCCTTGACTTTCTTTGGCAACGTTATCTCAATCTTGTTATCTTTGGAAGATGTGGAATAAGTTCGGGCGTCATCCAAATCAGATCTATTTGAAGTAAATCGGATTCTTCCTTGATTTTGTAGAAGTGATCAATCCTGTTCTAAGTTTGATGAAAGCATAGGAGAACTTCTATCGCTTTGTAGGATATTTCTATTTATAACCCTAACACTGAGGGTTCTTTCTGCGTGCAGCGAGTTTTATGATACTCTCTTCGAGGGCTGTCGTGTACACTAGCCTGACCAGCGGACCGATAGACGGAATACCACTAGATCGACTCCGAAATTGCCCTGAAACGGATTTCGTCCAAAGAGACCTAGGATATAAAACCATTATTTCAATGAGGCATATTTTGGTTGTAACAAATGATTTATTTACCATCTGTGGCCATATGCCTAAGATATAATTATCCTCTAAGAGGCTTCCTATTTGATTGGTTTCAAAATTTTTCAGAATGAATTCTGATGAATTCCTTAATAAAAATGTGAAAAATATTAAACTATTATTATTTTTTAATGAAAATTATCCACTTTTTTTGTATTCCAATCCGAAAAGTTCCCTTTTGGTTTTAATTTCCAAAGAAAACCAGGATATTTTTAGTCACATTAATACCAATCATCTTCTATTCGCCCGGGAAACACTACCCTCCACCACCCTCTCTAAATAGATTTCTCCATTAAAATATAGGTTACAAATGAATGGTATAGCAAAAATGAAAACCAATTGGAAATTGAGGGCAGCAGCAGTGACAGGCAAATAAGCCAACATTTTCGGTTGTGCACTCACTCACACACACCATTAAAAAGAGGACCACCAGTGATAATGTCAAAGGTCATAATACCCCTGAGAATCTATTTCTCGGAAATTAAATAATCAGGGCGGCCCAGCTGTTTTCTAGCACAGAAATTTAAAATCACGTTTTCAGCATGATGATTACGACGTGTTTAACTTGGATTCCAATTGGCTTTATTTATCTCCCACATTTGTCAAGTTGCTGCTGCTGCTCTTCTTCCTCTTATTTTTTACTTCTTGCTCCATTTATTTATTTGTTTTCTTTTTTTATTCAACACTTCACAAGTAAATATTAATAAAATTTGATACGGAAGAGATGTATGAAGAAGAGCAAACAAGGGAATAATAATAATTATTTTCTTTTTGCTTTGCTTTTCCAACATCATGTAATGTAATGTGGCTGCTGCTACTATGGAGGGAAGGGAGCTTTGCTTGGTTTTGCTCTGTATTCTACGTGTGTCAGAGAAGAGGGGTTGTTTTTATTTACAAAATGTTGTTTTTGTTTTAGTATTGCGCTTTCTTTTTGGGGGGTACTCACTCTCAATGTGATTTGTGGCACTCTCTCTCACACACTGGGGGCTTGATTGCTCTCACCTATTTGTAATGATGTTTAAACGGCAGCTTTCAGCATATTTCGTTCGCTCTCTCTCGCTCAATAACGTTTTTAGGTTAAGTTCTGTATTTTGTTATTTCCACCTCCTTTTTTGCCTTACTTTGTAGGTATGTAAAAAAAAGGATTTTTATTTGCACAAAATTGAATTCTTTTCTATTTAATTTTACAAAATTCACACAAATTCTTTAATGTTTCATTTATTTTCAATTAATGGTGCAACACTTTTCTATTTAATTGCAACTTTTTTTCTGCTCTCAGTATTTTCTTTTGCTTTTTTCTGCAACCCTTGGCTGCCTGGCTGGTTGGATTTTTGTTTAACAATGAATGAATAAATGAATGGGAGGATGTAGCTGTGTTTTTCGTCGTTTTCTGTTTAGCTGGCTCTGCTTGAAAATGAAAACGCTTTACTTGGCTTTTTACATAATAATTGTTATGTTTTTCTTTCGATTTTCAATATATAAAAAGAAATTTCTTGCGAAAAACAAGAATGCAAATTTTCTTTCTTCGTTAAACCAAACACGCTTTGCTTTAATTTTGAAAAATATGTAGGTTTTTTCCGAATTACATTTTTTTCACACGCACACTTTGTTGGAATTTTGAATTTAGTTTTTTTTTTTTTTTGTTTTACAAACACACAGTGGTAAATTTCTTATTTTTTTTCTTCGTTTTTCATCAAGAAAAAAACTTTAAGACACAATATAAAACTTTTTCTTTAGAAATGCTCTACATTTACAAAAGTTACAAATTGCAATGTAATATTTTCTTCTCTACCGCAGTACAAATATCGTCAAGCGCGCTCCGTGTGAATGCTGTAAAAATTTTCAACCAACTAATTGCAATTTCTGTGTATGGAAAAATCAATCCTATTGGAGCACAGCAGCAGTGCGGTGTGCTCTCTCATTTGAGCCTCCATTTTTATACACCTGCGCATCATCTCTGGATGTTTTTGATAGGGTTGCCATGGCATGGTTTAGTGGAAAGGCGCTTTTAATAGCTAGTGTCATCAAATAATGGAATTATTATTTTAGATGGATTAAAATAGTATGTACAGATCAAAATTGTATTTATAAAAAATATTTGTTTTAACTTCAAAGAAGCTTCTTTGGGTTTACCTCTGCCCGGCAAATTATATTTAAATAACTTCATTTAACCTCATCACGAAAATGCAATGGCAACCCTACCTTACACTCTCTTTTCAATTTTCTTTAACTTTGCAGAGATTTGAGAGAGATTTATATTCTCATAGCCTGCTGTGTGTTTTTTTGCATTTTGTTTTGTATATTATTTTCTAGTACATTATACATTGTTTTTCTTCTGAAGAAAAGAATATATATGTAAATTACGTATATATTTAAATATATTTATATTTTCTGACATACTCCCAGATATTTCCTGAAGATATTTCAAGAATTATCATGTTTCATAAATGTCAACCCTCTCCATTTTTTCGGTTTCTAACTGGAGTTTATACAACAAATGCGCCTCTCGGCGTACGTTTCGCTTTAATTAAATGCTAATTAGAAAAACAACGGAAAAAGTAGTAGCTTTTAAGATATAAGCTACCAAAAATCTAAGTGGAAGAAAATGTACTAAAAACAAAAAACGAGCACAATCTTTTATCTTTTTTCCTTTTGAAACGTTTTTTAGATTAAACCCCAAAAACTCCCACAATAATTTTCGGTGTTTTTTACCTTTGTTTGCTTTCTTTTCAACGCACACACATATGCACTTTTTTCACAATAGTTTTCTGTTTTTTACGTTGTTTCTATTACATATTCTTTTATGTTTCCATAATAATTCACTTGTAATTGCTGTAATTCAATGTACTTTTGTTTATATTGACGTTTATTTGTGATTAAAAAAAGTAATATTCTATGCACTTGTAATAGAAAAATAAGAGTGGTCGTCACACACCTCCGCCCGCAAGTTTACACAAGAATGCAAAAACAACGATTGCAAGGGTTCTAAAATGTCGAAAATATCATATTAAGGTTTCTATAAATACTATTTTTGCCCAACAAAGCAGCTGTTTTTCTGTGTTCACTAAATGAACCAAAGGCCGAGTATCAACGGAAAGCACATACAAAGCGTTGCGTCTCCTTAATTTGAATTGATAGTCCGATCCATGCCTCAATTATAGAAGGTAGAACATAGCTAACACCTTTTTTCCTTTGTCCCTATTCTGTCAAAACATATACGCAGTTTGTATATGTGTGGGTATCGTTTTGCATAAAAAAGAAAATTATTTGAAATCATTTTAAATTTAGAGTCAACAGGAGTGCATATTTTTCACGTTAATGTATAATTTGGGGCTAAATCAATCTTGTCCTACTATCTGGGATTAAATTTTGTGGAAAAACCCCAAAATTCCATTCGAGTTTTGTGGGTTTTCGCCGAATAAAAAAATTTTGTGAAAAAATTGACACAATAAGACTCCAGTGCAGCAAAATTTCTTATTGAGCCATGGGTATTGCATGGAGTTCATTAAGGCACCCATTTTACAGTGGATTCAGATGTAAACAATATCAGCTGATTCGATAGGTGATAAGAGGGAACAGAAAATAACCTGGTTCCTAGGGCTCCTTTCACAGAATAGCGCCTTTGAACTGTTTCGTATCACTTTCATAACCAAGGAGGGAGTTCGATTGCAATGCTCAAAATCTTGCAAATATCCTCGCGCAGGAACATAAATCTACGCCTCCGACATGAGCGACTGCACAAGTACCCCACATTCCACCGTGGAGTGGCTCAGTTAGGTAAAATCATGTAATTTTTCATTAAAGAATTTATTAAAACTTCTCCTTTTCTCTAGCACCCGGCTATCAGCCGAGGGATGTGGAAAAAGACAAACTGGACAAGAAATACACCTCCGATGATATGAAGGGAAAATGTAAGCCTGGAACATTTCGTATGTTGCTGCCACCACCAAATGTAACCGGCAGCCTGCATTTGGGTCATGCCCTAATGGCCACCATACAAGATGTTATTGCCCGACAAAAACGACAAATGGGCTATGATGTTCTTTGGATACCGGGCACCGATCATGCCGGTATTGCCACCCAGGTGGTGGTGGAAAAGAAATTGCTCAAAGAGAAGGGTATATCACGACATCAAATGGGTAGGGAGGCATTTTTGCAAGAGGTGTGGAAATGGAAACAGGAAAAAGGTGGCGGCATTGTGGAGGATTTGAGAAAGCTGGGTTGTACTTTGACATGGGATAGGGAGTATTTTACAATGGATGAGGTATATTCAAAGAGGATGACAGTTTCAATTTAAATAAGTTAATCTATCATTAAACTTCTGTATTTTCCTTAGCGCCAAGCCTATGCCGTCAATGAAGCCTTTATCCGCCTCTTCGAGGAGGGTCTTATTCAACGTAAAGAGTCTCTGGTCAACTGGTCTTGTGCCCTGGAATCAGCCATTTCCGACATAGAAGTCGAAACCTTGGATCTAAAAGGTCCAACAGAGTTGGCTGTGCCGGGTTATGATAAAAATATCACCTTTGGACGCATCTACGATATCCAATACAAAGTAATGAATGGTTCCAGTGATGAGTACATCAAAGTTTCCACCACCCGACCGGAAACTCTGCTCGGAGATGTTGCAGTGGCTGTAAATCCACTCGATGAGCGTTACAGCAAATATCGTGATCAACCTGAGGTGCAACTTTGGCATCCTTTCCGTGAGGAACCCATACCATTGGTATTCGATGTAACTGTGGAACCTGAATTTGGTACAGGGGCAGTGAAAATAACCCCAGCCCATGATCGGGCCGACTTTGATGTGGCCCAAAGGCATTTGTTACGGCCCATACAAGTATTTTCCGAAAAGGGTGCGATAAGGGAAAACTTCGAGGCATTTTCCAATATGCCCAGATTTGAGGCAAGGGACAGAATTCTTCAAAAATTGGCAGAAATGCAGCTTTTGGGAGATGTAAGAGATCATGCTATGCAATTGCCCATATGTTCCAGATCTAAGGATGTAATTGAATATATGTTAAGGGAACAATGGTTCCTCCACTGCCAGTCAATGGCCGATGAGGCCTTGGCGGAAGTTTTAAGTGGCCGTCTACAAATTGTGCCGCCGAATTTTGAAATTGAATGGCAACGATGGTTGGAAAATTGCCATGATTGGTGCATATCAAGACAGCTGTGGTGGGGTCATCAGATTCCAGCGTACAAAGCCACAGATACGAATAGTGGAAAATCCATATGGGTGGCAGCCCACAATGAAATGGAAGCCAAAATCAAGGCCCAAGATGAATTGCAAGCAGTCGATGTTGAACTGAAACGTGACAGCGATGTTTTAGATACATGGTTTTCTTCGGGTCTGTTGCCATTTTCGGCCTCCAATTGGCCAGAAGAGGAATATAAGCAGCACTATCCTCTGGATTTAATGGAAACTGGTCATGATATTCTATTCTTTTGGGTGGCACGTATGGTTATGTTGGGTGTAAAGTTGACCGGCCAGTCGCCGTTTAAGAAAATCCTTCTCAATGGTATTGTCTGTGATGCCCATGGCCGGAAAATGTCCAAAAGTTTGGGTAATGTGGTTACGCCTCAGCAAGTGGTACAGGGGGCGTCATTGGAGGTAAGTTCATGTCTCAAAAATAAAAATAAATATTTGAGTGTTTTGTATTTTAGTCTCTTAAAGAGGAATTAAAATCTGCCCATAAATCTGGAGTCCTCAGTAATAGTGAGGTTGAAAAGTCCTTGAAGGGCCTACAGCGTATGTTCCCCCAAGGCATACAGGAGTGTGGCACAGATGCTCTACGTTTCACCCTGTGTAGCCATAATATCAAAAGTCATTTCATTAATTTCGATGTTAATGAATGCCACACCAATAAATTGTTCCTTAACAAAATATGGCAGGCCACGAGATTTACCTTGGGCTCAGCAGAACGTCTTAATATGCCGTTGCATGAAATTGAGACTATGAATCAAGTACCTTTGGGAAAATGGGATTTGTGGATTCTAAGTCGATTGGCCGACACCTTGAAGACCTGTAATGAAAGTTTTGAGAACTATAATCTACACACCGCTACGGGGGCCTTGAAAGGTTTCCTCTACAATAACCTGTGTGATGTTTATGTGGTGAGTATTTCTTCTTTATCTTTTATATGGAATATAAAATAATAAAAACAATGTTTCAGGAAACTTGCAAGCGAAACATAAATTCACAAAAATCCGAAGGCTACATACATTGTGCCACTCTGGCTACAGTGCTAAGTTGGTCATTGCAGGCAATGAGTCCTTTTACACCATTTTTGGCGGAGGAACTTTTGAAGCATTTGCCCAAAAATATTGAAATCGACTTGAATAAGTTCCACAATCCAGAATTGGAAAAGGAGATTGCGGATATTTTAGATATATGTCAGCAAATACGTCAAGTGAAGAGTCGCAATACAATTAGTAAAAAATATGATCCCCAACTGTATTTATATGGCCACAGTGAGGAGGCTTTGGAAGTGTTACAACCTCATCTACAAGAAATTCAAGCTTTGACATTGACCAATGGAGTTCATTTGCATGGAATTAATGATAAGGCAAAAGAAGAACATAATTTGAGAGTATTTTCTACTGCCGGACATCTTTGTAGTTTTGGTAAGTTTCCTTTTCATTCATAAAAGTTGGATTTCAATAATGCTTTTATTTTAGGCATTACTACAAACGATTTGTATAAACCACCCAAGGGAGAAAAGGCGTCTTCTGTACAAAATTTAAATGAACAAAAATTACAAAAGCTTCAAGCCGATTTGAAACGATATCAAATGCGCATGGAAAATGAAGGTTTTCGCAAATCGGCCAGCCAAGAGGTACAACAAAAACATGCCGAAAAGGTAAGCGGGACAGGTTTTTGTTTTGCAAAGGGGATTATAAATAATTGTTGGTTTTTTTCAGATTCATCAACTGGAAATAGAAATAGAGAAAATTAAATCAATGGCCAGCTGATAAAGAAGGGCTGTTTAGAATAGGATAATTGACTTTAAATCGTTTGTAAGATCTGTTAATAAATGAGTCACGTTGTTGTTTTTAAGAGAGTTCCTTATTTCAATTAATTTTTCTAGGATTTAATTTAAAAATTAGCCTAACCTCTGAAGATAACATAGGAAAGTATTGGAATAAAATATAAAAAGTATAAAAGATTTGCAAAACATTAATGGAATAAAGGACACATACCTTAAGATTATAATGGAATCAAAAAAGCGTTTAGTAGTCATGCATGATCCTTGAGAGATTTATTGTCGACTTGACAATCGCCAGTTAGTTATGGGTCCTGTTGTGCTGTTTCAATATCATCTAATGACTTGATTGCGATCCTGATAGCTAGAACTATATTGGTTGGAATTTGTATGTGACCGTTTTATCCGAAATTGCTCTGGAAGTTCACTTACCACTAACAATAGTGTCTCTACTACCCAATTGGCTTCCGGAGTATTAAAATATAATTGAAAATCCATTATTTTCTCCGTTTTTTGTCGTGGCAATCGACTTTTTCCGGCTTAAGATAAATGGATAATTCAAAGGTCTACCTTATCCCAGTTTGAGGCTGCGAAAACATAACGTTGTCCCTGGGCGGCATCATTGTCTCGAGAATGAGAAGCCAAAAAAGATTTTAGCGACTCTAGCCTTGCAATAAACCTAGTTATCGCCACAAAAATCCATTTTCGTAACCTATGTTCTGCTTTCAGTCCTTAGGGAAAGGAAAATTATTATAAATCAATGTTCATTATGGCCCTCCGCCTCTCTTGTTGTTTACATTAAGGCTTGACACGTATAGCGTTATCACGTTTATGATCGATCTTGATGTGCAGACTGCGGCATGTTTTGTCTTGCGGAAATGCAAATTCGTCTCATAGGGCAATATTGGAGGAGGGGGTAATATTGCCTGCTTTATGACCGGTGTGACATGTTCAGCTACGTCACTAACCGAAGTAAATGGCAAACCAGCGGAGAAATCTTTCGTCTCCTCCTTCTCTAGATCGCCGTCAATATGGGATGCGACACAAGAGGCCTTTCATTAACCAATACTTTCATTCTTTTAAACATCCTTTTCTTTAATTCAATGCTTCAAACAATTCATTTCCCGCCTAAAAACTTCAATGGCTGCGTTATCAAACCATTAACGGCTATTTTTCTCTCACATCTCATTCGTTCTTCTTCTTGTTCGTCGTTGATGGGCATGCAACAAGAGCGGATAACAGAAGCCTTCATTAACCAACACTTTCATTTTTTTAATATACTTTTCTTTAATATATTTTAGCATCAAATAATTCATTTCCCGCTTAGAAACTTCAATGGCTGCGTTATCACACCAGTAACAGTCATTTTTCTCTCACATACCATTCGTTCTTCTTCTTGTTTGCCGCCAATGAACATGCAACCAGAGCGGATAACACAAGGCTTTTATTTCCATTCCCTCAAATTCTCCTTTCTTTAATTTAGTGTTTCAAATAATTCATTCCCGTTAAAAAAAAAAGACTTTAATGGCTGCGTTATCATTAACGGCTATTTTTCTCCCATAACTCATTCGTTCCTCTTCGCTCTTGTTTCATTTGGTGGGAACAACACAACGTGAACGAGGCAAAAGAACAACATGAACAAATTATTTGGTATTAGTTCCGATAGCAGAGAATACTATCATTGAACTACTTCGTTGTCGAACCACACAGCTCTACCTTCTTGCACGTGTGGGAATTATTTGTTTTGATATCCATTTGGAATTTTGTTCGGGAGTTGGAATAGTTAGAATATTAAAAGAATGGTAGTTATGTCCGCAGAAGGTCCAAAAAATAAAAAAATCGTCTTTGATGATGATGGTGATGTTGTGACCGAGGAGAAACAGCAGAAGAAAAAGAAAAACAAAGAAGAAAAAGCCAACGATGAGGGTGAAGATGGTGCTAAGAAACCTGTTAAGGTAAAAAAGGAGAAGGGAGTCCCGAAGCACTCAAAGAACGATGATATTGATGATGCAGAGACACCCAAGAAATGGTATGAGGTGGTAAGTATTGACTCCTCACCTAGCAGATTAGAAAATTTAAACATTTCTTCTTGTTCCACATAGTATTCCCAATATCCTTCCAGCGATGAAATTTTGGACATGAAAGACAGTGAACAAATGGAGCTGCACAATCTGTGCCGCACCTCATATGACCAGGAAAAGTCGGCATTTATGAAAAGTAAGTAGTCCTCGAGGGGAATGTAATGACGAAATAATATAATTGTTTCGCTTTTCAGAAAATCCCTCTGATGCACGTTGGTTACAGACGGCCCTGCATAAAGGTACTGCCAAAGATCGTGCAAATGCCGGTGCCTTATTGGTAACCAGTAACCCCTTGGCCAATTTGGAAGCCCTATCCACATTGATTGGTTTCACCAAAATGTCCAATAAATCATGTGTTGAGGTCATAACAATCATAACAGATCTCTGGAAGGAAGTACTTTTGCCGGCCTTTCGTAAATTGTATTCCATACAAATGCGTGGTGCCGATTGGAAGGCTGTACGCAAAGATACCAATCTAACAAAGGAACAACAGAGAAAGATCTATGCCTTTTGGCATTTTGAAAATGAGCTAAAGGATTTGTATTTTGGTAAGTTTGATAAATAATTGCAAAGGGATATATTTTCAAGTTCCATATTTTTAGAATTTCTCAAAAACCTCCAACAAAGTCTGCAGGGAGGCCAGGAAAACAATAAAACAACATCCATTGTGGCGGCATCCCAACTGCTTATGTATGCTCCGGAAAAAGAACAAATGTTGCTGACCATGCTCATTAATAAGTTGGGTGATCCCTTGGCAAAAGTGGCTTCAAAAGCTCTACATCATCTGACCGATGTGGCCCACAGACATCCAAACATGTGTGGTGTAATTGTAACAGAAGCTGAAAAGCTACTCTTCCGTAACAACATTTCGGAAAGGGCCCAACATTTTGCTCTATGTTTTTTGGCCAGTATTGCTCCAGCCGGCAGGCCTGAAGTTTGTACAAAATTGGTGAATATTTGTTTTGCCTTGTTCAAGGTATTGGTGCAAAAGGGTGCTGTGAATAGCCGTACCATGCAGGCCATTCTCAGATGTTTGCAAAAGGCAATTGTGGATGCTAAGCCCACAGATGGCAATAAAGAGCTGCTAAGTAAAGATATGCAAGATACAATTTATCGTCTGGTCCATTTGGCCGACATACATGTGTCCATACAAACGTTGGGTTTATTGCTGCAATTGGTTACGGTCAAGACGGAAAAGGGTGATCGTTTCTATAATGCTCTCTACAAGAAGTTATTGGATATGGATCTTACCACAATTGGTAATAAGGCGGCTGCTCAGCTCTTGCATATTGTACATCGTGCGGTGTACATTGATTCACATGTTCCACGTGCCCAAGCCTTTATTAAGAGACTCCTTCAATTGGCCTTGTATACTCCCTCAAATGTGGCAGCCGGTTGTTTGATTGTCATACAAAAATTGCTACAAACCCGCAAAGAATTGTGCCCAGATTATGTTAAGAAAAACTCAGATAGCAAAGCTTCTGTTACCCCCCAAATTCTTCCCACCGATGAAGAGTTAAATAAATTCGATAGTGATGGTGAGGAAAAGTATGAAGATGCCCCAGAGGAAGTTACAACAAACGAATCAAATGCTGAAGATTCGAAGGCAGTAAAGACAGAGGATAAAAAATCCGGTTCATCTTGGCATCACACCAAGGTGGCGGAAAACAAAAACGGAGAGGCAAAAGTAAAAGAGTTAGCACCCAGTAAATATGATCCCTTCCATCGAGTGCCTGATTTCGCTGGGGCCGAATTTGCCTTACAAAATGAGTTGCTATTGCTACGCAGGCACATACATCCCACAATTGAAGTGTTTGCCGAAAGTGTTTTGAATAGTAAGTGGATTTTTTTTAACATTTAATAATAATTTTTTAATAATTGAAACATTTAAAATTTTCCAGATAAACGTATTGACTATTATGGCGACCCACTGAGAGATTTTGGTTTGGCCCATTTCCTGGAGAGATTCTCATTTAAAAATCCCAAAAAGTTAGATGATAAATCCAGTGCTGCTCAACATCCACTGGCACACAAGTCGTATAAATCCTTCGGAACCCGTGGCATGCCCGTGAAGTCCCTCACAAAAAATAACTGCACCGAGGAGGAAATGTTTATCTTTAATTACCTTGAACACAAACGTAAACAAGCTGAATTGGTGAAAACCAAATCCACTGAAGATGACGATGAGGAAGAAGGTGAGGGTCTACAGGCCCGTGATGTAGATGATGATGAATTTGAAGATTACTTGGATGGCTTTTTCGGTAAGAAATCGAAAAAGGCCAAGAAAGAGGAGGATGGGGTTGTCAGTGATCCAGAAGAATTAGATTTCCTCAAAGATTTGGGTGTGGAGCCAGGCAAATCGGAAGCTAAACCTAAAAAATCCAAAAGCAAAAAGAAATCTGCGGATGAAGATGATGAGGTTGAGGATATTGATGCCGATTGGGGTGATGATGATGATGATGAGGAACTGGATGATGAAGATGTGGAATTTGAGGGTAATGAGGTGTCCGATGATGAAGAGGCTTCAATTGACTTTAATGAAGATGAGGATGATGATGCCGACGATGATGATATGGATGAAGATGAGGCACTGGATGGTGAGGAAGATTTCGATGATGGAGCCTCTATGTCGGATGAAATGTCTGGCAGTGATAGTGGGGAAGAAGATGATGACGACGACGATGATGATATGCTACCACCCAAGGCCAAGAAATCCAAAAAGGATGGTTCGGAATTAAATGAACGTTCATTTGCCAAGAAATTGAAACACAGTACAGGTACGATTGCTTTTTGAAATTCAAATATTCGAAACCAAACGATTTTATAATAATTTTTTGATCTTGTCCTTTTTTAGACATGAGCTCCTTGTTCGCTGCAGCCGATGACTTTGCTGAACTCCTCGAAGAAACTGGCAAGGTCAAGGGCCAGGGTACTTCAAATGCCGTTTTCAACAAGGATAAATCGTCACAGAAACAATTGAAATGGGAAGAGAAGCGACGATCAAATGCCAAAAACTATTCCAACAAATCAAAGCCAAAGGGTAAAGGAAAGTTTTCAAAGAGGAAATAAAGTAAATGAAGTTGATGGAATCTGTAATACAGACATATTAAGTTTTCATTAATATGTGATTTTACAGAAATGAATTAGAAACTATTGTTTATAGTATGTAATTTTTAATAAAGTTAACCTCAAAAAATCACAAATTGGAAAAGGGTATTTTATATGGTTAAACTCTCAGCCATATGGCTAGAGAGGGTATATATCATTTGATACGGCCAAAACATGCCTCATCGAAATAACGGTTTTAGACCCTAGGTCGTCGCTTTGGACCAAATCCGTTTCAGGACATTTAGAGTCGATCGAGCGATGTCCGTCTATCCGTCTGTTTGGCTGGCTGGCTGATCCGCACAATAACTGTCGAAGAGAGTAACCGATTTGATCCAAACTTGGTACATCGTAATATTGTTGTTGAACTTAGATCGAGTTCGGAGATGGGCAATATCAGTCCATTCCTTCTGGTACCTCCCACATAAAATGTCAAAATTTTCGAACAAAATAATAAACTGGACACAAAGAGAAAGGATAATCCGATTTTGCCTCAACTTTGCAAATCCTAATATTTGCATCTGTTCTAAGTCAGGTGGGAAAATGGACAATATCGGTCCACTCCATCAAGTAGCTCCCCCACAAAGGGTCAAAATTTTGAATAATTATAACTCTTATAAAATGTGATGTAAACATCCGATTACCTTCAAATTACTCACATCTCTTTATTTTTTTAACCCAAGCTCTGGTGTGAAGATGGAATATATCGGAACCACTCCTTCTGGTACCTCCCCTACAAAGGGTCACAATTTCCAATATCCATGAAGCTCATAAAACACGAAATTAACATCCGATTCCATCCAGACTTGGCACATCTCAATATTTCCATCAACACAAGATCTATTGCAAATATGGTAGAGATCGGACCATTTCTTCTGGTACCTGCCCTACAAAGGGTCAAAGCTGGGAATAACCAAAACGATCATAAAATCCGAAATAAGCATCTGGTCCTCTTCAAATTACACACATCACAGCCTTTTTATTAACCCAAGGTCTGGTGTGAAAATGGAATATATTGGTACACTCCTTCTGGTACCTCCCCCACAAAGGGTCAAAATTTGGAATATTCATTAAGCTCAAAAAACACGAAATTAACGTCGTATTCCATTCAGACTTTGTACATCTCAATATTTCCATAAACACAGACTTCATATAAAGATGGTAGAAATCGGACCATTTCTTCTGGCACCTCCCCCACAAATGGTCAACGTTTTGAATAACCAAAATGATCATAAAATCCGAAATAAGCATCTGGTCCTCTTCAAATTACACACATCACAGCCTTTTTATTAACCCAATGTCTGGTGTGAAAATGGAATATATTGGTACACTCCTTCTGGTACCTCCCCCACAAAGGGTCAAAATTTGGAATATTCATTAAGCTCAAAAAACACGAAATTGACATCGGATTCCATTCAGACTTTGTACATCTCAATATTTCCATAAACACAAGACTTCATGTAAAGATGGTAGAAATCGGTCCACTTCTTCTGGTATCTCCCCCACAAATGGTCAACGTTTTGAATAACCAAAACGATGATAAAATCTGAAATAAAGATCCGGTTCTCTTCAAATTACACACCTCACAATATATTTATTAACCCAAGATCTGGTGTGAAGATGGAATATATCGGTCCACTTCTTCTGGTATCTCCCCCACAAAGGTTTAAAATTTTGAATACACACGAAGCTCATAAAACAGGAAATTTACTTCCCATTCCATTTAGACTTGACAAATCTCAATATTACCATCAACACAAGATCCGTTATAAAGATGGTAGAGATCGGACCATGTCTTCTGGTAACTCCCCCATATAGGGATAAAGGTTTTGAAAAATAAAACGCTCGACGAAAGCAAAATAAGCTTCCAAATCTCTTTAAATTTCACACATCCAAATATTTATGCTAACGCGGGATCTGTTGTGAAGATGATATATATCTGCGAACCACTTCTGGTAACACATCCATAAAGGGACACAATTGCCAATACTTATATCTGTCATAAATTGTGAAACAATTCGGCGATTCTTTAGAAATTGCTATATCTAATATTTCTCTTAACCAGAAATTTGATATGAAAATGTAGTTTATCGAAATTTATGATTTCGCATAAAATTGGATTTCTTTCACATTTTGCAGGTACCAATATTTTTCTCTGTATTAGATGAAGTATGAAAATTGAATACTTCGGTCCGCTATATCTGTTACCTCACTCATATTTCCACATTTTCCAAAAATGTGCACATATCTCATATAAAGTATTGGAAGTAGTCGATATAGTCCAAATCTGGCACACGTTGTAATATCCATATCAGTCTTATGTCAGATACGAATTGTTCAATATTGCCCAACTGCTTCGAAACCTCCACCATAAAGCTCTTGACCCTTTGAATCATAATCATAACTCAAGTTTAGGGGTATACATATGTCGGCAAAACCGACTGATACTATTTTATTTGTTAAACTTCCTCTCTGGAACATGAATTCATACTCAAAATTGGCAGAAGTCGGCCACACTTAGAATAATTTGTTCTGTTCTTCGATATCATAAAGGGAAAATTGGTTATCATAGTAAAAACGTTTACATTTTTGCAGTTCTGGAACAGACCAATTGTAATTAACCGGTAGATCTGCCTTACCTTTTTATGGTTCATGCATGGTATAATTACAGAAGGTAGAACAAAGCTACCCCCTAAATACAATTTGTTTCTTTTAGTGCCCCTATTCTGTCAAAACATATTCACAATGTGTATATGTGTGCGCATTGTTTTAAATAAAAAAGAAAATAATTTGAAATTATTTCAAATTTAGAGACAACAGAAATTCATATTTCCACGTTAACGGGTATCAAAATGTATAAATTTGGGATAAAACAATCTTGATCAACTATTTTTGATTCAAATTAGGTGAGAAACCACAATATTCCATTCAAGTTTTGTGGTTTTCCGCAATATAATATTTTTGTGAAAAAAATGGTTAATAAACAACACCAATTGCAACAAAAAAAAATTTTCCTAGTTTCCTTGAAGTTGAGCAACCTTTCCATGTACCATGTATGGAACACGAGTTGAGCCCCTGGTCCTAAAGACAATTTTTAATTCGAGTTTATTGTTTTTTTCTTTTTATTCAAATATTTCACACCATTATTCAATATAACATTAGTTTTTTTTATTGTTTTTTTTTTCTTTTACTTGTTATACTAAAAAATTATTAACTACTTATGTATATGTATGTGTATTTACTTTGTTAAATTATCATTTTTTTGTGAGTGTTCTTTTTTTTTAATATTTGCTATTACAATATTATAAGTTATGTTAAAATGAAGAAAACAAGATTGTTGTTATGAAAATTATATATACGAAAGGGATTTATATGGTCGCCATGTCATAAATTTAATTTACATCAATTACATCAATCTTTTGAGTTTTTTTTTATACTACAATTACGATTGCTTGAAATAAAACAATTTTTTTTAATTTTCGGTTTTATATAAATTTTCTTGATAACCATTAGATAGACAATTAGAAATGTACACGAGATTAATCCTAGGGGGGCTTCAGATAGATAATTTCATGGTTTATGTTTTCCTAACCAATTCCTCTAAGCTGGGAGAAAACGTTGTGTATTTTTTATTTATTTATTTTTTTTTTTTTGTAAATTTTTACAAATTCCTTGGATTTTATTAGGGTCCTTAAAATGAGTTTTTTTCTTTTTACAAATTATTTTTTTTTTTGCATTTTTTCATTTTTATATAAATGTAATCATTCATTCGATCCATTGTGTGTATGATGGAGTTCCATTATTTGTTTTTTTTTTTTTCAATTTTCGATTTATGATTTTTTTTTTTCGGGAGAGTTAAGGCATCTTTTTCAAAGGCATCTGATCTGTTTTATTTTTTTCTTTTACCTATCAATAACTTGAATTTATAAAACAAATAATAACCATGGGAAAAAATATATTATTTTCACTAATGGAAGGTCGAAGAAATTGGAGGTCTATTTGTCCCAGTGTATTTGGGAGTACTTGGTTTGACAATCGATGTGGGGTGTGGTTGATGTGAATATTTTGGGGTATAAGTATATGGGACGACAACATTTGCTTGAAATAATCCTAGCTATCAAATCGAAATCTGTATCTGCATGAAATAAGTTTTTGTTTAACCTTTCAAAATTTTCCTTCTCTTCACCTTTTTTTCAAATTCTCTCTTTTTATTGCGATGAATAAATTACCTGATTTTTAAATGAAAAAATCAGTTCGGTTTATTTATTACCTGATCCACAACTGTAAGAATGTAAAAAGTTTTACTACGATAACCGATTTTCTCTTTAGGGTATCGAGGAAAATTTCAAAAATAGTAGATTCTTGCAGGGTCTGGAACAGAGCTTTATTGTAATTTAAACAAGTAAAAAAGTATCAGTCGCTTTTGCCGACAGATGTATACCACCAGACTTGAATTATGATTATTTAAACTGTTGACTCTTTATGGGGAAGGTTCCGAAGCAGTTGAACAATATTGACCAATTTGGATCTGACCTAAGACTGCTATAAATATTACAACGTGCCAGATTTGGACTATGTCGACTACTTCCTATACTTTATATGAAATATGTGCAAAATTTTGGAAAATGTGGAAATATGCGTGAGGTAACAGATATAGTGGACCGAAGTATTCCTTTTTCATACTTCATCTAATACAGATTAAAAATTTTTCATGGACAAAATGTGAAGGAAATCAAATATTTATATGCAATTTTATGCGAAATTATAAATTTCGATAAATCAGAAATTCATATCAGACTGGATAAGAGAAATATTTAGATGTTGTAAAGAATCTCCGACTTGTTTTGCAAATTAGGACAGACAAAAGAATTGAAAATTGTGACCATATGCTGATTAGGTGCAGAAGGGGTTGACAGATATATATAATCTTCACAACAGATCCAAAATATTTGGATGCGTGAAATTTGAAGAGATTTGTTTGCTTATTTCGCTTTCTTCGAGCGTTTTGTGTTCGAAAATCTTGAACCCTATGTGTGGAAGGTAGCAGAAGAAATGGTCCGTTATTATAACAGTTCTTGTGTTGACTTAAATATTGAGA